CATGGTCGAGTTCGGCGACGGATCCCATAGGGCCAAGCTCGAAGTGGAATTCGTCGTCGTCAACCTCGACTGCGCGCACAACATCATCCTCGGCCGGCCTGCCCTCGAAGATTTGGAGGCCGTCATCTCCATGAGGCACTTCTGTCTCAAGTTCCCCACACCTACCGGCATCGGTTACTCGAGGGGGAATCAGAAGCTCTCCAGGGCCTGCTACCATCAACTCACCAAGAAGGTGAGTAAGACCGAATTTCGGATTGACACCATCACCACCAAGGCCCTGGAGGAGGAAGAAGGTAGGCCGAGGGCTGAGCCTGCCGAGGAGACCGAAGACTTGATACTCGATCCGGCCAAGCCGGAGAGAGTCCTGAAGGTTGGAGCCAAGCTCCCCGAAGACTTGAAGGCTGGCATCACCAAAGCCCTCCGCGCCTACTCCATTGTTTTTGCATGGGGGCCGGAGGATATGCCAGGAATTGACCGAAGGGTCATCACCCACCGCCTAGCGGTGGACCCTTCGGCCAAACCAGTGCAACAGCGGAGAAGACCCCTCTCGGCCGAGAGAAGGGAGTTCGTGAAGAAGGAGGTAGCCATGCTCCTCTCCATCAAACATATCAAGGAGGTGAAATACCCCTCTTGGTTAGCAAATGTAGTCCTTGCACAGAAGCCTCCTACTTTCCGCATGTGCGTGGATTACACGGACTTGAATAAGGCGTGCCCAATGGACCCCTTCCCCCTGCCGAACATTGATCAACTGGTAGATGAGACCGCGGGATGTGAAATCATGTCATTCCTCGACGCATTCCGCGGATATCATCAAATCTACATGCATGAGAAGGACGCTGAAAAAACTGCCTTCATGACACCCGAAGGCATCTTCTGCTATCTTGTGATGGCCTTCGGTCTAAAAAATTCAGGCGCCACCTACACACGCATGGTGGCTAGGGTTTTTCAAGCTGTCCTAGGACGCACCATGGAGGCTTACGTTGACGACATGATCGTCAAAAGCAAGAAGGCAGGCACTCACGCCGACGACCTCCGGGAAATCTTTGCCATCATGCAAAAATTCAATCTCCGGCTAAATCCGAAGAAGTGCACCTTCGGCGTACAAGGAGGGAAGTTCTTGGGCTACATGGTCAGCCGAAGGGGTATTGAGGCCAACCCCGAAAAGATTCAGGCCATCATCAACATGGAGCCTCCACGCAACGTAAAAGAAGTTCAACGGTTGACGGGTCGCCTGGCAGCCCTCAACCGTTTCCTCTCTAAATCAGCCGAGAGGGCCCTCCCCTTCTTCCAGATCATGAGGAAGACGTCGGGTTTTCAATGGACGTCTGAATGTCAAGAGGCCTTCGACGAACTCAAGAGGTACCTCTCCTCTCCCCCAGTGCTCTCCAAACCAAAGGTGGGGGAGACTTTATACTTATATCTCGGTGTTAGCCCTGCGGCTATCAGCTCAGTACTAATCCGAGAGGAAGACGGCATCCAACATGCCATCTTCTACGTCAGCAAAACCCTCCGGGAGGCCGAACTCAGGTATTCTCCCGTCGAGAAGACGGTGCTAGCCATCGTTTGGACCGTCAAGAAGCTTGGCCACTACTTTCAAGCTCATCCGGTCCAAGTGCTCACTCATCAACCCCTCGGCGCCCTCATGAGGAGCCCCACGAGTTCCTCCCGGATGGTGAAGTGGGCCATCTTCCTCAATCAATACAACATAGACATCCGGCCGAGGCCTGCCATCAAGGGCCAAGCCCTGGCAGACTTCGTGACGGAGTGCACCGCGAGATCAGCGGTGGGCGAAGAGCCTTCGGCGCCTCTTGATGAGTGGTGGACCCTCTATACCGATGGCTCCTCAGCCACCAAAGCATGCGGAGGAGGGGTAGTCCTCATTACACCCGAAGGCTTCCGCGCATATTACGCCATCTGCTTCTCCTTCAAAGTCTCCAACAACGAGGCCGAATACGAGGCCCTCCTCTGCGGCCTTCGGCTGGCAGCGAATCTGAAGGCTAAGATGATCCACGTCAAGTGTGACTCCAAACTCGTCGTGGGTCAAATTTCCGGGGAGTACGAAGCCAAAGAAGGGAGGATGAAACAATACAAAGAAGCGGCTAAAGAGTTGCTCAAGATGTTTGAGGCACATTCTCTTACCCAAATACCGAGGGCTCAAAACTCCGAGGCCGACATTCTATCCAAGCTTTCGGATGAATCCCCAGAGCACCTCTCCAAAATTGCAAGAATTGAGGAACTCAGCCTCTCAAGCATCCACGCGAGCCCCGTCATGAACATTAACCTGAGGCCGGAGGATTGGATCTCCGACATCATCGCCTTCATCACCACAGGGCAACTGCCCCAGGACGAAGCCCGCGCCAAGTTAGCAAAGCTGAGGGCTCCCAGCTACACCCTCGAGAATGGGAGGCTTTACAAAAGATCTTACAACGGCACCCTCCTTCGGTGCCTTCATCAAGATGAAGCCGAAGTCGCTATGGAGGAAGTGCACAGTGGCAGTTGCTCAGCCCACCAGGGACCCTTCTCCATGTCCTGAAGGCTCATAGTTCAGGGCTACTTCTGGCCCACGATGGCTAGAGATTGTGCTGATCTAGCCCGAAGGTGCACCGCTTGCCAACACTTTCAGAAGGCCCCCGGCAGACCAGCGGTCAACTATGCTCCCATCAGCATCGCTATACCCTTCTCCAGATGGGGGATTGACTTAGTAGGCCCCCTGCCGAGGGGTACCTCCAACAACAGGTATATCATCGTGGCCATTGACTACTTCACCAAATGGGTAGAGGCCGAGCCCCTCGCTAGCATCACCGAAGCCCGGTGTCGCCACTTTGTTCTCAAAAATATTCTCACAAGGTTTGGCGTCCCCCAACAAATCATATCCGACAACGGCACTCAATTCGAGGCAGCCCCCTTCTGTGCCCTCCTGCAGGCATGGGGCATCAAACACACCTTTTCATCCGTTGCCTACCCCCAAGGCAACGGGCAAGTAGAGAACGCCAACCGAACCCTACTTGAAGGGTTGAAGAAGAAGCTGGAAGCCGAAGGGGGAGGCTGGGTAGAAGAGCTACACAACATTCTATGGGCCTACCGTACCACCCCTCGGCGTGCGACAGGGGAAACACCCTTCTCCCTATGCTATGGCTTTGAGGCTAAGGCTCCAACAGAAGTAACTCTGCCCACCCGAAGGGTTGAACAATATGAACCCGAAGTCAACGATGCCAACATGGCCCTCGACCTTCATCTCATCTCAGAACGCCGAGAGCAAGCTTTTCTCAGGGCCGAAAACTATAGGAGACAAGTCAAAGGCTACATCGACGCCAAGGTCCGCTCCCGGGAATTTCAGGTGGGTGACTACGTCCTCCGACGAAGGGAGGCCAGCCTACCCACCGAAGGAGGAAAAATGGCTCCCAAGTTTGAAGGCCCCTACATCATCTCAGCCATCATCAAACCAGGGACATACAAGCTTAAACGCCCCAATGGGACGGAGGTCCCTAGACATTGGAATGTGCACCACCTTGTCAAATTCTATCAATAAAACGTGAGCGGCCAAGCCCTCATACTCAGCAAGTGTAAATATCAATGGCCCAAGGCCCCATCTGTTTTTGAAGAACAATCAAAACGCCAAGCCTTCATCACCTACATACAGTACAAGCGGCCCAAGACCCCCTTCTCTCCTATAAATGAGTGGCCAAGCCCTCATCTCTTCACTAAAATAGGCCCAGGGCCTCTTCCTCTCATGAGAGGGAAAAGCAGTTTAGGTACCAAGTACCAAGTGTATGGGTCACCCCCATCACTCTTTGAAAACACCTAGTGTTTTCTCACTAAGCCGTACCCCACGAGGACGCAATCATGCATACATTATGCATACTTATACATACTTAATCCTTCCAAAAAAAAAAAAAAAAAAAAAAAACGGGGGGTGCAACACCCCTCGGCTCCGGCTGGTACCAAGTGCCCCCGGCTATTTGTGTTCCACACGCAAATAAAACCCTTCCCAGGAATGCTTTCCGCGCCATCCCCCAAGGGGAGGCAGGCAACGGACCATGTCCCGGGCCCAGGATTCGACTTCCACAAACGAAACGCTCCCCGCGCTATCCCCCAAGGGGAAGCAGGCAACAGACCATGTCTCGGGCTGAGGGGACGACTTTCAAAACCGAGGCGCTTTCCGTGCTATCTCCCAAGGGGAAGCAGGCAACAGACGATGTCTCGGGCCGAGGAAACGACCCTCAAACCCTTCGGGATATCGGAAGGTCATTCCCGAAGGGGGAGCCAACGGTTTATTCCGTTGCCTCCCATATAGGCCAAGCCTTTCCTAGAAACCAAGTTTCTAGATGCCTCTCCTGCACCATCTAAAATGAAAAAAAAAAAAAAAAAAAAAAAAAGATGTGTAGGGGGAAGGAACTCCCCGGATACTATTCTCCCCGGAGGCTCAACACTTCGGATATATATTCCCGAAGGCTCCCACAAAGGCGCAAGAAAATCTCTCAACAACAAGTCATCTGGCCACCAAAACTACTTGGCAATGACCCTAGGCTATGCTGCTAGTCGAAGGATCCGCGTTCCCGGGGGCGTGAGGTACAGTTTCACCTGGAAGATTTCCTAAGCCTAACTCATTTTAGCCCTCGGTCCTAACACTACAACCGGAGGCGATGGCAATGGCTCATCACCGAAGGCACGCTCTGGGATTTTTACTCAAGGAATTTTCCAAGTCCACAATCACAAACCCCCCGGTGATTCTACTCTACACCCGAAGGGTTCTGATCAGGTTTTACTTAGAAAGTTTTCTGAGTCCGTAGCTTTGGGTGGATGTGATCAAGTTTTTTACTTAGAAAAATTTCTAAGTCCACAACAACAAGCCCCCGGTAATCTACACTACAGCCGAAGGCTTGTGAGGAGTCGCACTCAGAAATTTTTTCTAAGTCCACAAAGGAGAACATCATACATTCAAAATGCGAAGGATGGAAGAGAAGAAAAGACATACATTCATTCATACAATAAAATGAGACCCGAGGGCAAAACATTCATCACCGAAATATACAAGTGCAGAAGATGTTTGTTTACAAATACAGTGGACCGAAGCCGGAGCCTACTCATCTATTACAGATTGTACTTAAAGGAATATCAAACTTGGGCATTTTCGGCTCCGTCCTCCTTCAGCTTCGAGGCGGCGTCCTCCTCGGCTTCCTCTTCATCATCATCGGCTTCCTTCATTAGTTCGGAATCCTCCAAATCCGGCCTCTCTACGCCCGGAGGGAGGGGAACCCTTGTGTCAGGCTGAAGGGGGGGCAGACCATAGGTGGCTGGGTTGAAATCCTTGGGGTCGACCCCGAAATGCCGGGCGAGCCTCCGGTAGACGAGCCACTGGGTAAAAAACTCACCCCCGTCGTAATACTCCTTGCCCTTCTGGGCCAACCACATCGCCCCGGGGCCTCCCACCCAGTCATCAACAGTTCCCTCGATCACCGAAGCTAGCCACTGCTTGTGGTCTTCGGATCTCCATCCCTCGGAAAGAAAGGCGGCGACTGCATCCCTCTCAGCTTGAGCCACCGCCTCCTTCTTGGTCTTTTCAAACTCCTCGGCAGCAGCAACGGCGGCTTTCTCGGCCTCGGCCTTGCCTTCAGCCTTCCCTTCGGCCCTGGCCACCGTCTTGGAGTCCTGGAGAATTTTATCAAAGGCCTCCTGCTCCAAGCGGAGGGTTTCCCGGACCTCCAGAAGCTGCCTCCGGGAATCAGCCAAGGCCTCATCCGCTTGCTTCTTCTGATCCAGTGAGTCCTCCAACCTCTTCAGGAGTTCGCCGAGCCCGAGGGCAGCCTGCAAGATAGACCATCAAACAACAAGAGTTAAAACATCAGAATCGAAAATGTGCTAAGTCCAGAAAAGGCATCTTAGAAAAGAGAAGGGGAAGCCCTTACAGTTACGGAGGCTTGGAGGACCTTACTGCCGAGGGCGTCGTCCTTCAGCCTGGACAGTACCGACTTATCCGTCGGGGGAGTAGCGCTGGTCAAGAACTCCCTCGGGTTGAGGGTGCCATGCATAATTGCGGTTCCCTTTGTGATAGAGAACTGCACATGATCCTGAGGCCATGCTAACTCGGCTCCCTGACCCGGAGGGGGATTGGAAGCGGCAATCATCCTCGGCGTACCGGAAGAGGAATGGCCTTCAGATATAACCAGTGGCGCCCCCTCCGCACCAACGGTCTTCTTGGCCCTCTTGCCAGAAGCCTCAGAAGCTTTTGACGGGGCCTTCCTCTTGGCCGCCTCGATCTTCAGGGCACCAGCACCCTCGGCGATAGCTTGAGAGGGCCCCTCGGCCCCCTTAACCTTCACAGCTTCCCCCTTCGGGAAGAAGTCCTCAACAGGCCTTTGCTGGGATGGGCCCTCCCTTTTCTTCCTCGGCTCCTTGGCCAACTGTTTCTTCAGCTTGGCAAAGTTTTTAGCGTCCATTTCCGGGCCTGTAAAAGAAGGGAAACATATACAATCGTCAGAACACAACAATGATTGAAAGAAAATCCTAAGTACACAACTAGGAGCCCCCGACATTCACCTTCGGCACCCTCATAGACCCTGTCTATCAGGGGGTATTCATCATCGGCCTCCCCCACCAAACGAAATCGCCGAAAGCCCAGCTTGAGAAGTTCCTCCGGAAGGGTGGCTTCCTTGATGGTCTTCAGCTTGTCGGACCCCTCCGGTTTCTCTGCCAATTTCTTCCCATTCTTGGCGAGGACGGCGCTTCCAACCTTCGGGTGCCTTTTGAAATTATCTCGGAGGGGAGCAGCGAAAGGGTTGTCCGCCAAGCGGATATAACAGAACTTGTCCTTCCATCCCTTGTGGGATGAAGGAACCTCGGAGAAAAGCCTGAACTCAGGGACCTGCTGCAAATTGGCGAAGCCCCCAGCATTTGAATGTCCCCCCCGGCATAAATTAAAAGAGAGGAAGAATTGATCCAGGGTGGCCTCCATGCCCCTACTTCGGCAAAGGGCCAAGAACCCCGCGAGGTACGAATGACTGTTGGGAGTCAGTTGGCAGGGGGCGAGCTTGACAAAGCGGAGGTATTTGAGCACGAAGGGGTGGAGTGGAAACCGGAGACCCAACTCCACCGATAAGATATGAACAGCGAAGCAGCCTTCGGGGGCACGCAACAACACGTCGTTGGGCCCCGGTTCCACCACCTGCGCTGAAGGCCCGGCGAAGAACTGTGTCGCCATATACTCCGCATGCGTAGCCTTCGTCTTCACTTCTAAGGCAGCAGTGTTCAGGTACGAGTGCCCTTCGGGTATTCCCACCGGCCTCCCAGCATCGACGGCTGCTTGTTTCTTCTTTGAGAGCCCCCGGATCTTCTTCTTCTTCTTACCCGGAGCCACACTTAGAGGTTCCGGGTCGAGTGGCTTGGAGCTCCCGGCCTCGGCGTCATTACGAGCAGGCAGGACGGCAATGGTGACCTTCAGCCTCTCCTTCTCCTCCTCCTCCTCTTCGGCCACTTGGACTGCGAGGGCCAGCTCCTCGTCCTCATTCACTTGCTCGAAATCTTCGGCCTCCATCTCAGCCCGGAGAGCGTTTTGTACCTCCTCGGCCACTACGTGGTCATCGTTGGTCGATAGCGTCTCACTGGAGGATTCCACTTCGGATATGCTCTCGGACTGCACCGAAGGCTCCTTGGAGATGTCCTGGGAATCGCTTTGCGAAGACATGTTCGGAGACTAGGACTAAGGGGTTTTTGAAGAGAGGGCTCCCTAGATAACTCTAACACTAAACCTACAGCCAAGGAAGTAAAATGCGCTAAGGAAGGATGAAGCAGAAGGGTGCACTGACCTTAAGGATTGGTTTCGACCGAAGGCTGAACTTTCTCTCTCTAGAATCAAATTGCCAGAGCTTTGTTATCTCTCAAAATCGCGCAAAGGAGAATGGCTCTGGCCTTGGGGTATTTATAGGCAACTGGGCCTCGAGAACTGGGCCTCAACTCGAAAGCCCATCATTACGAACCTCCGCCTCAGCCAATGGGTGATACCCGCTCACCTTCGGCCAACTGAAGCACGCCACGTGGCTCCCGCCTCCAACGACTATGTCAGAACGGCTCTATTTTAGAAACTCTTGAGGCAACCTTTGACGATAGCCTCCGGCTACTACTGATGAAGCCTTCGGTGAACATATGTCACCAAGTACCCTCGGGCAAGCTGCAATATAAGCCTCCGGTTATCACTCACCGGAGCCTTCAGACAACGAATTCCACCAAACGCCCTCGAGCCCGTAGCAGCATAAGCCTTCGGCTTATCAATATTGCCACCCCTCGGGGGCTCATCGACTCATCATAACTCCTTCAGCCCGAACTTGCCTTCGGCCTAAAGGAGTGGGGGACTGGGATACACCCCTCGGGAATCATACAGGACAAAAATTCCTCATGCAAAGATTTACAATTGACGCATGTAGCATCCGGGTGAACATCAAAGCGGAAACTTTCGGGTACATACTTCAACGCACCCTTCGGCAGAGGTAGAGTATCAAAATTTTTCCCCGAGTCACTTGCGGAAATAAAGCAGCCCTCATCACAACACACGCAGGCAATACATCCATGCTTTCCTCAGAAAACCCTCGACATGTGAGGGACTGAGGAAAGCCTTCGGCGGTTATACAGGTGTTATACTTCCCTCAGAAAACCCTCGACATGTGAGGGACTGAGGGAAGCCTTCGGCAATCAGCAGAAGGCAAGTTCTCAAGCAAAGGCGCCCAACCAAACGATGAAGCCTCCAGAAGAATCAACGCATCTACTCCTTTTCCCTCAAGTACCTTTCGGCAAAAGGAGTGAGGGACTCCTGATGGAGTATATGGCCCAGGAACCCCCGGCCCAAATACTCCTACTTCTCCTACACAAGTCCATTGAGCCCAGAGAACAACTCAGGCCCAAATACCACGGCCCAAGCCCCAAGGTGGCCCAGAATACACATTGGGTGCCTTCGGCCTCCTTGGCCGAAGGCTCCAAAACTCACAGGATAGCCTTCTCTGGCATAAGAAGCTACTGGGAAAAAACGGCTAAAAACATGAGCCTTCGGCACCAGGGGGAAGCCCTCGGCTGAACCAAGCCTTCGGCCATACGGGTCCTCACCGCGTGGAGCCCTCGGCTACACAAGGAGTCTTCGGCTACACAGGGATCCTTGCCACATGGAGCCCTCGGTTACACAAGGAGCCTTCGGCTAACTATTCAATCATCAAAGATTCCTTTTGGAGACAACCAACCACCGCATTTAATGCCACGTCACATCCGCCAACCGCATTCAATGCGGTAAACGTACCACTGCCGGTGCCAACCAGTTGATGTGACCCTTCGGCCGTTGGATTACTGACACGTGTCCTCTCATCGCATTTATTGCAGCTATAAATAGCAGCCCATTTCTCCTTGTAAATCATCATCTACATCCCAACTCCACACGCTGAGTTCATTTAATAAAATCGACTCTCTCTCCTCCTATTTTGCTCTGACTTCTCTCTAGTTATTCCCGCAATAACCCCTCGGATAAGATACCCCCCGGGTAGACTGTCCATCATATATATTTAAAAGTTACCACACTCAAGCCACAACATACATTTTTCTTTATGGTGAGAGGGGAAATAATATTCATACTTGTCACGGCGGTAAGTCGAGTCGCGGCGCCAACTAATCGCCATAAGGTTTTTTAATAGGAATTAAAGTTTAACATGTCTATCTCAAATATTATTTATCAAATTATTGATAACTAGTATATCAAATATCAAGATTTGTATTATTTTATTAGTTTTTATAAGTATTATTTTATATTTATATACTACTGTAGTATTTATTATTAGTTTATCAGGTTATTATTTTATAAGCTATAACTCACAACAGAAAAAATAATACATTAAAAACAGAATAAATTAATACACCAAACTAATGAAGCCTTTCAAAAAAGGATCACTCAGCAATTCAGGTAAGAGTGTAGGACACATGGATATGTGCATAAACATGGGAAAGTGGGAAGTCGGTTTATGCATAAAATCTTCCTATAGAATATTCCTATAGGATTAAATAAAAATCTTAAAAAACATAAGCCACTTAGAGAGACGAGAAGAGAGCAGAAATCTGGGAAAGTGGGAATCCGTCTTCTTCCTGGAGGCTAGACTCGTTAATTGTGCATAGTCAGATTTGTTAGATTTGTGAGATTTGTGGTTTGTGCATATGAGATTGAAATAACACAATAATATGTGTTCAATAAGTTTATGTTTTAAAAGATCAAGTCATGTGAGTTTGAGTTTATTATTTTTTTGACTGAGTTGGTTCTACATGTTTTATAGATGGGCGATTCACAAGGTAACGCAAAAAAAAAGGATTATAAAACCTGGAACATAGAAGAGAGTAATGTATTGCGTCAGCTAATGGTTGAAAGTGTCAAACTTGGCCTTCGTGATATAAATGGTGTGATAAGTAAACAAATGGTAGAGACCAGACTTCTTCCTAAACTTAAGGAAAAGCTTGGTTATGAAATTAGTTTTAATAATTAAAAAAGTAGAGTCAAATGGTTTAAAAAACAATACTCCCATTACTCTCAACTTATGCGGCACAACTCTGGATTCGGATGGGATTCGGCCACAAAGAAATTCACCGCTTCCGAAGAAGTATGGGCTGACTACCTGAAGGTGGGCATTTTTTATTCATTTGTGTGTCTATTTTATAACATCATAATAACAAACTTTATATTTTTTATATATCAGTCACATAAAGAACATGCACACCTTCGGTCAGAAACTTGTCCGGACTATGAGGATCTGAGAATCGCAGTGGGGAATGGAACTGCAACTGGGATGGCTGCAATTGGTCTTCGTGAAAATACAGATGCTATAGTGTTAGGAGTAGATGATGAATCAGGTAGAATTGGTGGCATTGATGGATTATTTTTTGATCCAAATACTAACACATTCACGTCGAGTGAAAATGCATCATCCCACCACGAGGACTCATCATATCTTCCACAAGATGGTGGTAGAAATATAGAGGATCGACCTTCATCAAGCAATAGAGCTAAAGGAAAAAGGGGTAGAAATGATTTTGAGAACAATGGAAGAACAAAGGAACCTAATAGTCACGGAGAGGTTATTGGGATCTTGTCAGTGGGGTTTAACAAAATTGTTAAGAGTTTTGATAAAATTTGTTATTTAATGGAGAAGAGAGAAGCAAGGGACAATGATCTTGATTTGCAGAATACGAAAGCAAAGCAAGATTTCTTTTTAAGGATGACTCCCGAACAACGCTATCACTGGATCATCAATCTTTAAACAACTTCATTAGATTTGTCCTCTAGAGTTATCTAATAATAAATAGGTCATGGTTGTGGATTTACTTTATCTATTGTTGGAGTGATTTAATTTATTTGGATTGCAAAGTGATATGGATTATTTGAACTATTTTATGTATTATCCGTTAGAATACTTTTATTTTAAAATATACCGTAGTTCCCTTTTTAAAGTTTATACGGAATATCTTTTTTCTTCTTTTAGCAATGTGTGAAACAGATATGTATGGAGCAGATGAAGATGAAGTTGAGTTTTATGGGACTCTTAAGATATTGCTAATGGCAATAGAAGCAGTAACTTACTTGATATACAATCTCGCTTCAAGAATTAATGATGAACCTGTTCCATGCCCATTGACTCGCCGACCTGTGACGGCTAATGGGATTAAATATATGGATGAAATAATGGCCGACGATCCTAAAACATTTAGAAATGTATACAAAATGTATCCTAACATTTTTCAAAAATTATGTTGTATCCTAAGAAACAAAACGCCTTTAAGAGATACAAGATATATTTGTGTTGAAGAAATGTCACGCCCCAGACCGCGATCCAAGCGCGTGTACAACCGCCGTATAACTAAGTGACGTCACCCACGAGTCAACCTCACTTAATTACACAAGGCGTTCGAGAAAACAATCCATCCATACTCAGTAGTAAACATACACAACAACATCACATTTAAACCAATGAATAGCGGAAATATTCAACGGCAAGTCATGAGCCACAACCGGCCAACAACATGGGCATGCAAGCCCAAAAATAGTTTATAGTACAACAAATATCCATGAGCAAGTGTTCGGTAGTTTGAAAGAAAATAAGGAAGCACGAACCACGTCTTCCCGATATGATATCACCCGTGAGAAGGTGCAAGTAGCAAGCCCTAGCTTCAACCTGAAAATGGCGGGGGCCCCCGAAGGGGTCAGTACAAGTACCGAGCGAGTAGCAGGCTAAATATAGAATAACTAGCGTTTCAAGTATAAGACCAAAACATAGGGTGATACTTAAATAAAAAGTCTTTTCCCCAAGTTATGAAATACTTATTAGTATATATATACTTGGAAAATATCCGATCCGTAGATCACCATTTTATTTGGGAAAAATAGTAATAGTCAATATTCTTGACTAAAAACCCCAACCCACCCATATACCTATGAGTGTATAGGACTCCTCCTTGTCCCTATTTGCATATCATAATCTATGAGTTTTAGAATCATAATCCTTGGATACTCCACCGGTTTGTGAGTGTTAAGGACTCATAAGTCCTAGGGTCCTCCACCAAGTTTTGAGTGTTAAGTACTTTTAAGTACTAGGGTCCTCCACCAAGTTTTGAGTGTTAAGTACTTTTTAAGTACTAGGGTCCTCCACCAAGTTTTGAGTGTTAAGTACTTTTTAAGTACTAGGGTCCTCCACCAAGTTTTGAGTGTTAAGTACTTTTTAAGTACTAGGGTCCTCCACCAAGTTTGAGTGTTAAGTACCTTTAAGTACTAGGGTCCTCCACCAAGTTTTGAGTGTTAAGTACTTTTTAAGTACTAGGGTCCTCCACCAAGTTTTGAGTGTTAAGTACTTTTTAAGTACTAGGGTCCTCCACCAAATTTGAGTGTTAAGTACCTTTTAAGTACTAGGGTCCTCCACCAAGTTTTCCTATGATCAACCTCCTATCAACCTAGATAGAGTCTATATCATACTTAGTTACTCATAACTAATTCAATACATAAAGCTTATGTATCACAATCCATGCAAAACCATGCATTCATATAGATTTATAATTAATTAATACCAACCGGTATTAATTAAATCCTTTGTCCATCGGTCAACGTTTTCGTTGACCGCCATTTCATGCCTTGTGTGTATCAACTTAATCATCATATAATTAAGTTAATAATATTCCTTTGTGCCTCTAATACACTTCAACCAAATATGCATTTCATATAATTCTTCATATCATATTCCATGCATCAACAATAAATTTCTTTCATACAAACTTAACCCTATTGGTTAATCACATGTTTAAATATCTTTTAAACATCATTACGAACTCATATAACATTTATTTAGGTAATCTCATAATTAACCCAAAAGTTATAAGATATTAAGCCGTCCACTCACCTTGAACTAGCGTTATGAAGTTCTACCCTTCTTGGTTGAACTCCGGTGAAACTCCGGCGACTTTTGGTCAACTCCGGCGACAACTCCGGCGACTTTTCCAACTTTGTGAAATCACTTGAAATACCTTTCACAAGTTCCTAACAAGGTTTTATAATCATAAAACCCATATTAATACAAATAACCTCAAAACGGTTATTTTCCGGTGAACCGGTCGTTTTGGCTTCTAAGTCCGTTCTTGGACATAGAATCACTTTCCAACCCATTATTCCACACTCACACCATGTAGAAAAATCCTAAGGGTTCTTCATATGACATATATCTCATATGATAGAAGAAAAATAAGAGAAGAGTTATGATAAGGTTATTACCTCAATTTTCACACTTTTTCCTAGCTTTTTCCTTCTACAAGCACTCCTCTTTGGACCTCCTTCCTTGAGCTCGAGTTCAGCTATGGAGGAAGAGTATTTTGAGAGTTCTTCTTCTCAAAAAGATGGGGCTGGACGAGTTGGATGATTAAGGTGAGAGGGAGTGGTTTATTTTGTCTCAAATGACAAAATGTGTGATGGGTGAGGGGTCATCCTTGTACTTTGATGCCAAAGCCTCCTCCTCCACACCTTCCTTTGTCATATCCAGCTCCCCTTTGTCTAATTGAGCACAAAAAAACGTGGGGTGGCCCCCACTCATGTGGGAGGTCATCCCTTTGTGTCCCGATGTGTACAATCGGTCCCGAAAGTTGTATTTTTCGGACTGTTTTAAATATATTTTATTTTATCGGGTCCAATAAAATATATTACGTGTTCCCAACCGTAATGGCCTTTTGAAATAATATATATTCCAAAACATTAATTTAGAAGTCCCCAAAATTCATTTTCGGGCTGTTATCCGTTAAATTGTCGGCACCGGTAATTGGGCTTCTTTTGACCAACCGGTCAACCCCAGGCCTTCCCATGGCCCAAATAAGATATCCACCACTATATAAGTATTATTTCAACCCATAAGAATAATTTATGTGATCTCGGAAATATCGGGCGGCCCCCGCTCCCGGTATGGGTCCCACGTGCAATTTACTATTCACGCGAAAGAAATAATAAAAATTTACAACTTCATAAATTCATCAATCCTTTAATAAGGTTCAATACATTATTTACATAAAAGTAAATATATTTGGGGACGGTGTTACAAGTTCACCCCCCCTTATTTGGGATTTCGTCCCCGAAATCCAAGTATCTAATCGAAAAGAAATGGGTATTGCTCCCTCATTGAGACTTCGGTCTCCCACGTTTCTTCTTCGACTCGATCACTCCTCCAAAGAACCTTTACCATAGGAATCTCCTTATTCCTAAGCTTCTTCACTTGTTGACCAACAATCTTCACTGGTTCCACCGCATATTGCAAGTCTTCACGGATCTCTACCGTTGGTTTCTCAAGAATATGAGATGGGTCACGTATGTACTTCTTGAGCATTGATACATGAAACACGTCATGTATCTTCTCAAGTTCAGGCGTCAACTTGAGACGGTAAGCCACGGCCCCGATCCTTTCAAGGATCTCAAACGGACCTATGTATCGGGGGTTAAGCTTCCCCCTCGATACGAATCGGATGATGCCCTTCCAAGGAGAAATCCTTAGGAAGACCTCATCACCGACTTCGAACTCCAACGGTCTCCGCCGTTTATCAGCATAACTCTTCTGTCGGTCCTGAGCGGCCTTCAGTCTATCCCGAATGATCCTCACCTTGGCCTTGGTGATCTCAACCAGCTCTATCCCTTCGAGTTTGGCCTCACCAACCTCGTCCCAACACAACGGTGTTCTGCACTTCCTCCCATACAATGCCTCATATGGAGGCATGCCGATACTTGCCTGATAACTGTTGTTATAGGCAAACTCCACTAGGGCCAAATGTTTGTCCCAACTTCCTTGGAACTCCAAAGCACATGCCCTAAGCATGTCTTCCAGAATCTGTATCACCCGCTCGGACTGTCCATCCGTCTGTGGGTGAAAAACTGTGCTAAACTTCAGTTTAGTCCCCAAAGATGCTTGAAACTTTGGCCAAAATCGGGATGTGAATCGTGGATCCCTATCCGAGACAATGGATATTGGGACTCCATGTAATCTCACAATCTCCTCCGTGTATAGCTTGGCCAACCTTTCAAGAGGATAAGTAATGTTGATAGGCAGAAAGTGTGCACTCTTGGTGAGCCTATCAACCACTACCCATACGGCATCGTAGTTGTTCACTGTTCGTGGCAGCCCCACCACGAAGTCCATGGTCACATGTTCCCACTTCCACTCTGGGATGGTGAGCGGTTGTAAGAGCCCTGCTGGGTGCTGATGCTCTGCCTTAACTTGCTGGCAAGTAAGGCATCGACTCACAAACTCTGCGATATCTCTCTTCATACCTGACCACCGGTAACATTCCTTCAGATCTCGGTACATCTTAGTACCTCCTGGATGCATGGCATATGCTGAAGAATGAGCCTCCTCAAGTATAGACTTCTGGAGCTCCTCATTCTTTGGTATGCACACACGATCCTTAAATAATAAAAGACCGTCATCACGTACCCGAAAATTCTCGACGGGCCCCTCAAGGATCCGTTCGCGGATCTTCTGACATTCCTCATCAATGGCCTGACATCTACTGATCTCACTCAGCAATGTAGGCCTCACCTCGAACCTAGCAATGAGCGCCCCGGTCATGGACACCTCCACGTGTGCCCTCAATACTCGTAGACAAGTAAGTAACGTCCCTGACGTACTCTTCCTGCTCAGTGCGTCGGCCACTACATTGGCCTTTCCGGGATGATAGTCGATGATCAAGTCATAGTCCTTGATCAACTCCATCCATCTCCTCTGCCTCATATTCAACTCTTTCTGAGTGAATACATACTTCAAGCTCTTATGATCAGTATAAATGTGACACGTCTCCCCGTAGAGATAATGCCTCCAAATCTTCAATGCAAACACTACCGCCCCCAACTCTAGATCGTGAGTAGGGTAGTTCACCTCGTGTTTCCTCAATTGCCTAGAAGCATAGGCAATCACCTTACCGTTTTGCATTAGTACACATCCAAGCCCTTGGATGCTAGCATCGCTGTAAATGTCATACCCTATCCCATGTATGGGTAGGGCAAGGACTGGTGCTTCGGTAAGTCGTTTCTTCAATTCAAGGAACCCCTTCTCGCACTTGTCGTCCCATATGAACTTGGCCCCTTTCTTTGTGAGCTTCGTTAATGGAGACGCCAATACGGAGAATTTTTCAACAAATTTACGATAGTATCCCGCTAAGCCAAGGAAACTACGTATCTCCTTCGCATTCCTGGGTCTCTCCCAATCCATGATCGCTTTTATCTTGGCGTTATCCACAGCAACACCTGAACCAGATATGACATGACCGAGGAAACCAATCTCTTTGAGCCAAAATTCGCATTTGGAGAACTTGGCGAAGAGTTGCTTTTCCCTTAGCCGATCAAGTACAAGCCTCAAATGGTGTTCGTGCTCTTCCTCGCTCTTGGAGTATATCAAGATGTCGTCAATGAATACTATCACAAATTGATCTAAGTATTCACTAAACACACGGTTCATCAAGTCCATGAATGCCGCCGGTGCGTTGGTTAAACCAAATGACATCACAAGAAACTCGTAGTGACCGTACCTAGTGCGGAACGCACTTTTAGGTATGTCACTTTCCTTGATCTTCAACTGATGATACCCCGACCTCAAATCAATCTTCGAGAATACTATTGCCCCTCGAAGTTGATCGAACAAGTCATCAATCCTCGGTAAGGGATACCTGTTCTTGATGGTGACCTTGTTCAACTGTCGGTAGTCGATACACATTCTTAGTGTACCATCTTTCTTCTTTACGAAGAGTACGAGTGCTCCCCATGGTGAATGACTGGGTCTGATGAACCCGTTGTCCAATAGTTCTTGTAGTTGGACCTTCAACTCTTGAAGCTCGGCCGGTGCCATTCGATAAGGAGGAATCGAAATGGGTTTGGTTCCCGGCTCCACTTCAATCAAGAATTCGATCTCTCTATCGGGTGGGAGCCCCGGTAGGTCTTTGGGAAAGACATCCGGGTATTTGCATACGACTCGTACATCTTTGATGTCGACTTCTTTCTTTGTATCGTCTACCACGTAAGCAAGGTATGCGTGACATCCCTTCCTCATCATCTTCCGTGCTCTCATCACGGATATGATACAAGCATTAGATTTCCCCCGATCTCCTTCAAAACATAGCGTATTCCCTTGATCATCCTCGAGCTCCAACACCTTGGTGTAGCAATCCACTCGAGCATGGTGTTTCTCGAGCCAATCCATTCCTAGGATTGCATTGAACTCCAACATGCTTAGGGGTACGAAATCACAAGTCAAAGGTTGACCCGTCACTTCTACCTCACACGAGGGATAGTAATAATTTCTCTCCACGTCGTCTCCTAACGGTGTGGAGACTATCAATGTTTGCATCATAGGCGTCAATGGCACGTCAAGGCCCTCGGCGAACGCCTCACTCACAAATGAGCGTTGTGTTCCGGTATCGATGAGGATCCTTGCACACCTACCATTGATCTTTAATGTTCCTACATTTATACACCATGTGAGATACATTTTCTAATGTTTTTACACATCTTTGGAAGGTTATTAGGTTCATACATATGTTTGGAATCGTACAGGGGTCCAAACATAGAAGAACGGGGCGGAAAAAATTCGATTTTTGGGTTCTGGGGTCCACGCACGGCGTGCCTGGGTGGCACGCACGGCCGTGCGTGCATCGGATTCTTCCTGCTCACCACTGCCGGCCAGGCACGGCGTGCCAGCAGGTCACGCACGGCGTGCCTGCGGGCGTGCCTGGCTAAATTCTTTCGGAGCGCCACTGCCTCCCAGGCACGGTGCCACGCACGGCGTGCCTGCGGCCGTGCCTGGCCGAATTTCTTCGGGGCGACACTGCCTTCCAGGCACGGTGCCACGCACGGCGTGCCTGAGGGCGTGTCTGGCCGAATTTTCTTCGGGGCGCCACTGCCTCCCAGGCACGGTGCCACGCACGGAGTGCCTGCGGGCGTGCCTGGCCGGCAGTGGCTGTTTCCAGCTGATTTGGCCTAACTTGCCCGATTTGACCTCGGGGTGGCCCGCACTCAATCCCAACGACGTATATGATCAAAGTAAGCCTAGAAATGCCCAGAATAAGTGTCTTACCTGCGACGGAGTCCGGGTTTGCCCGCGCATCCGCCTCGGTCATCGCGTAGACTCGTGCTTGGGTCCCACCTTGGTTGATAGATGCGGCATGGCTTGTGGATGCACCGCCTCTTCCTGTACCGCCGTTTGACGGTCCCGCACGGTTCCTTCCTGTCATGGTTCCTCCTCCGGATCCCGGAGCTCCTCCTCCCTCTAATTGTGGGCAATTGGCCTTCATGTGGCCCGTGTTCCCACATTGATAACACCTTGGGGGTGCATTGCACTTCCCAAAATGATTTTTCGAACAATTGGCACACTTTGGTGGCCCCGTCCTTTGTGAGGAGGATGCATGCCACCGAGCATCCCTGTTCTTCTTTGCCGGTGGTGCCGGTGTCTTGAACGAACCACCACCCCCACCGTGTTTATCTTTCCGTGCTT